GGAAGCCTGCTGGCCCACAGGTCAGGAAGGGACAGAGGTCTCAGGGGAGGCTCATACAGGCCCCTGCTTCCCTGAGATTTTAGCAGCACTGGATTTTATCAGCTTGGCCCTCTAGCTGAGCTGTCCATGGCTTTGAGATGTCAGAGGCCACTGTGGCCTCTTGCTGTTTCCTGGTTCCTGTTCTCCTTAGAGACTCTTGGCCCTTGACATTGGCCTGGTTGCTCTGGTCACCTTCCCCCAAGCCCCTCTTTCTACTGCTTCCACTCCCCAACACTCCCCAGCCCCCAACCCCGCCATCCTCGGGTCATTGAGAGCCTGCAGCAGGGCAGTGGCATTCACAGCAGGCCTGAGTGACCCAGAAGCCCATGCCCTTTCCACTTGGTCTCACGTCACCCAGTGTCCCCAGGTGCTATTTCCTCTCAGTGCCACTAGCCTCTTTCCCAGTGAGCCCCCCTTCCATCTGCCATAGCCTCTTCCTGGAGGAGGCGCCTTCCCCCAGAGCCTAGCAGGAGCTCCCCCCTGGGGATGGTGATGGCAAGGCCCTAGAACAGCTCCCAAGGCAGGCGGCTGAGGTACCGTCAAGCAAGGGCAGAGACTCACAGCTCAGCCTGAGCACCTGCTCTGCAGGAAGTTAGAAGGGGACTTTGCTGGAAATCTGCCTTTAATCTTGGCTTCCTGTTTTCTGCCCTGGGGGACCGCCCAGAAGGTCTGAGTTTCAAACTATTTCACACCAGCTTCTCTAAACTGTCATCTCAGATGCAAAGAGACTGGGGGAGGGGAGGAGGCAGGATGGAGAGAGGAGAGGTCCTTCCCTTTCCAAGGGGCTGACAACACACCATCCACAAAGGTGCTTGGCCTTGGCCCTGGGCTTCTGGCCACCAGCAACCAATCCAAGCCTAGCTCATGTTGTTAAATGTAGCCAGAATGTCTTTTTTTTTTTTAAATATATTTATTTATTAATGAGAGACACAGAGAGGCAGAGGGAGAAGCAGGCTCCATGCAGGGAGCCCGACGTGGGACTCGATCCTGGGTCTCCAGGATCACACCCTGAGCCAAAGGCAGGCACCAAACCACTGAGCCACCCAGGCTGCCCTGTAGCCAGAATGTTAAATGAGCATCATCCTCCACATCCAGGAGTTTCCAGCCTCTCTTTTTTTGACTCCCCCCGGGGTGGAGACAAGTAGCCCAGGCCTGGGAGAGGGAGTGAGTGCTGAGCCTACTTGGCCTGGGAGAGGCGGGGTGTGCTCCTCTTAAATTTACTCCCTAGTCCTAAAACCCAAGGACTTTCCTTCTCTGATGATTTTTTTTTTCCCTAAAGTCTGCTGAGTTTTGAGGCTGTTTGGTGCTCCAGGCTTTGGCAGTTCTCAGACCCGAATCCCAGTCCTGGGGGTGGGTCTCTGGGAAAGGTCTTTACATCCAAGCCTCGGTGGCCTGGTCTGTAGAGCGTGGCTGCAAACGCCAACGTGACATCTCCAGGTCTCACAGGTGTCTTAAGCCCAGTTTGTCCAGAATCCAGCTTTTGAGCATTATCCTCCCTCCCAAATCCTCCCCACCTCAGCAAAGAGCACCACCATTTCCCCAGATGCTCCAGCCATACCCAGGGATTAGGCCCACTTTCTCATGTGCCCTTATTCCACACAAATAGCGCCTAAGCAAGAGCCATCAGGTGGCTCACCTTTGTCCCCAGGGGCCCATGGCCATCACCAGTGGCTCCCCACTGGCCATATAATAAGCTCCAAACTCGTGTAATAAAATGCCTGGCCCACAAGGACCCCCAGGACCTGGCCCCCTCCTCCAATATCTCTCTCCCCTACTTATGGGCCTTATCACCTTGGCCTTCTGACTGTCCCTCAATCTGCTGAGCCTCTGTGCCTGGCTCCCCTCGCCTGTTCTACTCCATCCAGCATTCACTGCCTTCCTGCCACAGTGGCTAATCACCCTGTTTGTTTATCCTGCTGGGCAAGGACCATGTGACCTCGCTTTATGCCTTCATCTCTAGCATCCAGGACGGTGGCTGGCACTGAGTAGGCGCTCAGTGTTTGTTGAGTGAATGCCTAAAAGAGAAGTGACTGGAGAAGTTGGAAATTAGTTAGGTCTCCCACCAGAGGATACCTAGCAGGCCAGGGCACTTTATTGATATGTCTCCTAGGCCTGGGGTTTGGGGAAGTTAAAAAATGTATTTCACTCTGCTGTGGAGAGGTGGAGCCAGGCTTCAAACGCAACTTTATTTGACTCCAAAGTTCACTCCTGGCCACAGCAAACCAGGGGAGAAAATAAAGTGTGTTGGGGGAAAAGGAAGATGGGTTGGTGAGAAAACTGGAACACAAATTAGAGCATTTCCCCCAAATCCCCACAGTCCTTTCCCATTTCGCCAGCTGAGCCCATCTGGGGAGAAGAGAGGTCAACTTCTCCCTTTCAAAAGCCTTTTGCAAAGCTGCTGCAGTGCTTTCCTGCAGGCTGACATCTGCCCCACATGGCACTACTTTATCATTCCATCTTGACCTCAGAGGAAAGAAAGGGAAACCAACCGAGCTGAGCACCCTCCTCACCCCCACACCCAGGGCTGTTATCTTGCTGAATCTGCAGCATCTCTCATGAGCAGAAGGATATTTTGAGCCTGATCTTACAAAAGAGGAAACTGAGCTCAGAGACCTTAAGTAGCTAGCCCAAGGTCACACAGCTAGTAAGTGGCCCAGCTGAGATTCAACTTTGAGATTTGAGCCCCCAATCCGTGCTCTTTTCCCATTACACCATAGCAATCTCTGAGACTTGATGTCTCCTCAAAGGGCAGAGGTGTGACTACTAATTCCCTCCCTTTCTTGTTTTTAAATCACTTATTTACTTATTTATTTAGAGAGAGTGAGTGAGTGCGCACATGTGTGGAGGGTGGGGGCAAAGGGAGGGAGAGAATCTTTTCTTTTAAGACTTTATTTATTTATTTATTAATGAGAGACAGAGACAGAGAGAGAGAGAGAGAGAGAGAGAGAGGCAGAGACACAGGCAGAGGGAGAAGCAGGCTCCATGCAGGGAGCCCGATGCGGGACTCGATCCCGGGACTACAGGACCACGCCCCGGGCCAAAGGCAGCGCTAAACCGCTGAGCCCCCCCCAGGGATCCCTGGAGAGAGAGGATCTTAGGCAGGCTCCACTGCCCAGTGCAGAGCCCAACTCGGGGCTCGATTTCATGATGCCGAGGTCATAACCTGAACCAAAATCAAGTCGAACACTTAATGGACTGTGCCACTGAGGGGCCCTTGCTTCCCTCCTCAGAGGGCTAGCCCCTCCCTGGGAAGCTGGCCCAGGGGTACATTGGGTCACAGGGCCGGCCTGTGGTTTGTCCAGGGAGGCACACCCAACTCAGGCTCCTGGCATTTGAGGTTCTTTTCACACTGCAGCCGCACTGTCTCTCCAGCTCACTCTCCCACAGGCCCATTACTGTCCCTCTCAGGCCTTCAGTCTGGGTATACTAGACCTTGCCAGGATACGTCATGCCCCCCACCAGACTGTGCCCCTCCTCTCTGCCCACCCAACCGTAACTCTTCCTTCAGGGCCCAGTCCCTAAGAAGTGCCTCGATGCCTCCTACCTACACCAGAGTCTGGTCTCCCCTCCGTCACTGACCACCTCCCCAACACACACACACACACACACACACACACACACACACAACCACACACACTGTCTGCTCCTGTAGCTCAGAGCAGACCACGTTCCTGCTCCTCATTGACTAAGACATGTCACAGCGGTGCTTGACCGAGCGCCGATCACGTGCCAACTACTGCACACTAAGCACTTTACATGACTTAACTCATTTCCTCACCACAAAAACCTTAAGAAATTGGTGCTCTTATTTCCCCCATTTTACCAAATGGGGAAAACCGTAGCACAGAGGGTTTAGGTAACTTTCCCAAGGTCACACAGCTGCCGACCACAACCTCATTGCCTCCAGGCTGAGAATAAAGTCCAAGGAAGTCCCACAAGGTTCCTTGCTTGGATCTCTTGTCCCCGCAGCTTGCAGAGACCTGTCCTGAAGCCCCACTGCCAGCTGCAGCCCTACCGAGCTCTTTAGGCTTCCTGGAGCCCTCGAGGGTTGTTCCCCCATTCCCTACCCTTGTCCACGCGGTTCCCCCACCTGGGGTCCCAGTTCTATTAAGTCCTCCCATCCGCCGGCCCCTCTTTTCTGCCTTCCCGGACCTCGTCCCCCAGCTCTTGGTGTCTCTGCACCGGGCTGCCGGCCCGCCCGTTATCCCGCCGAGGCCCGCGACGGGGAGGAGGGCCGGCCCCTCCCGGAGGCTGCACGGCAGGGCCAGAAGCCGGCGAATCAATGAGTGAGTGAACGGACGCCTGCTCGCGGCTGCCAGCGAGGCCCCGTGTCTGCGGCCGGGTCGGGGGAGGGCGGCCGAGGCCCGGCCTCAGTGGCTCCCGCGCGGGGCCCGAGCCCGGAGCCGGCAGGGTTGCCCCGGGAGGGCGCGGGGCGCGGCGGGGGCAGGGCAGGGCAGGGCAGGGCAGGGCAGGGCAGGGCAGGGCAGGGCAGGGCAGGGCAGGGCAGGGCAGGGCGCGGACACACCCCCTGCAGTGCCCCCGGCGCCCGGCAGGGGGCGCCGCCCCGCCCCCGCCCCGCCCCGCCGCCCCGGGCAGGCCCCTCGCGCAGGCGCGCTGCGGCGGGCGGAGGATCCGGGCCGCGCTTCCTCTCGCCAGGCCTGCGAGCTTCCTCCCGGCGGAGCCCCGGGCGAGCCCAGCGTGTCCGCCGCCGCCCCCCGCCCGCGCCCGCCCGCCCGGGGGCCCGCGGGGAGGGGTCCGAGCGGGGCGCCCCGCCGTCGGGGCCGCGTCCCGGCCAGCCCGCGGCCGCCAGACCCCGCCCGGCCCTGCAGCGCGGGAGCCCGCCGCCCCGGCCCCGGCCCCGGCCCCGGCCCAGGCTCCCCGGCCCCGGCCCAGGCTCCCCGGCCCGGCCCGGCCGCCACGTCCCCGCCCCGGCCCCGGCCCCGGCCCGGCCCGGCCCGGCCCGGCCCGGCGCGGCCGCGCTCGGAAGCGGAACTCTGCGGGGCCGCGCGGCTACATTGTTTCCTCCCGCCGCCCCCGCCCCCCCGGCCGCCGCCGCCGCTTTGTACCGCGCCCCCGGGGACCCCGCGCCCCTCCCCTCGCCCGGCCGCGTGCGCCGCCCCGCAGCCGCCGATGCTGCCCGCCGCGGGGTGGCCCGGACCGCAGCGCCCCGAGAGGTGAGTGCGGGCGGGGGCCGGGGCCGGGGCCGGGGCCGGGGCCGGGGGGAGCTCGCGCCTCCCGCCCGCCGGGCCCCGGGGCGCTGCGCTCGCGTCCCCCCGCCCTGACCCCCGCCTTCCCGGTTTGAATTCTCCCGGGAGCCGCTGTCAGCCCGACGCGGGGGGGGGGGGCGCCCGGAGGTGCTGCCCCGGGAGCCCCACGGACCTGTGCCCTCCCGGCCCCGCCTGGCAGGGCCGGCTGGAGCCCCAGGGAGCCCCAGGGAGCCCCGAGGGGAGGGAGCCCCCAGGCCCTGGACCTGCCCGGCCCTCCGCGCGGCCCGGCCTGCCTCCTTCTGAACCCCCTCCCCGCCGGGGGGCCGAGGCTCAGGAGGCCCAGGGCCCCAGCACCTCCTTGATCTTGCTGGAGGTTGAGCCTGTCCCCCTCCCAGACGGCCAGGCCTCAGCCGAGAGACCTGTGACCCTTGGGTGGAGACACTGGGCAGATCCTCAGCGTGTGGGGATGTGACACCGGGCCCTGGGACGGCGCCCCCCCTCCGGGCAGCCGGGTCATCTCATTCTCCCAGACGCCTCGAGGCCCAGGCCCCGTGTCAGGAAGAGGCGTGTCCGGCCACCAGATCCTTGGTGGTTAACTTAGGGGTTCACCTCCCCTCGCCTTTTGTGGACCAGGGAACTGAGGCTCAAAGTGGGAAGTTGCCACCCCAGGTTGCTGGCAGGGTCCGGCCGTCCTTCCAGGCTCCGCTCCACAGAGCAGGCCTGCTGTAGATGGAGGGAAAGCAGGCAGGTGCCTTCTCCCACCAAGGACCCAGGCCCCCAGCCTGACCCGGGGGACCTTGTGGGTGAGCACGTGCTTCCCTCCAGAGGGCTTCCGGCCCCAGCGCTGCCCGGCTCTGGGCTCAGGCTGCGTCGCACTGCCCACGGGATTTCCCCTTGGTGCCTGAGGTGGGTGCTGCTGACAGGGGATGTGGCGGGAGGGGGGCACCTTGTCTGGTGTGGCCACGCGCGGAGTGGAAACAGCCTGGCAGTCAGTCCCGACCCAGGCCTCCCACACACTGGGCCCAGCTGCCCCAGGAGCAGCCAAGTCCAGAACATGAATGGGGTCCAGACACGGAAGGGGAGAGCCTCACTTCCACAGCCGTGGTGGAGCAGCGTGGTCAGTGGGCGCACGCAGTGGGCCCGTTCCAAGCTCTCCACGCTTTGGTGGTTCCAGCGTCTTTCTTGGTGGGGCCCCAGCAGTAACAGGACAGAGGCAGCAGAAGGGAGGCTGGGAGGGTGGCAGGGTCCTCTTGCTCCCTGGAGGGTAGGAGGTTCCCTGGAGGCTGTTGAGCTCTGTCTGGGCCCCCATGGGGCCATTGGTAGTTTTGTCCTGCTCCAGACTCTGCCCGTGATGTAGTGTTTTTCCAGTTGCCCCGCCATGCACAGCAAAGGGGACCCAGATGTGGTGGGCCTGTGAGGCGCCCCGCACCCGGCCCTAACTTCCTTTCCGGCCTGAGGGCCTGGGACTGCGGCCTGAAGATCGGGCACTTTTATGCCAACTGTGAGCTATGTGGATGCGGCCCCAGGGTCCCCAGGCCTTGGTAGAAAAGGGTCTGGTGTCGGGCCAGCGCACGTGCAGAGATGTGTTTCTTATCTGGTGAGCTTGTTGCCTTCTCCCCTTGCAGAAGTGGCTGCTCTTCTTTCTGCGTTGGGTCAGGGGCAAGAAAGGACCACATGATAGTCTCCGGGGCTGCTGCAGGGGGCACCAGGGCCCAAGAGGTTGAGCCACCATGAGCAGACCGGGGTACAGGTGGGGCTAAGGCCCAGGGGTCACAATGCGTGATGCAGCCGCCGGAACAAGCTGCCAGCTGGCCTCATGGGGGAGAACGGCCTGGGTCCAGTTCTGGGCTCTATTTTTTGAGGCCTCTTGAAGCCCCGACACAGAGTTCCCAAAGAAAGAATTTGGTCCAGGAAAGAAAAGGTAGGGAGGGACGGCTGGGTGGCTCAGTGGCTGGACTTCTGCCTTCGGCTCAGGTGTGATCCCAGAGTCCCGGGATCGAGTCCCGCATCGGGCTCCCTCCATGGAACCTGCTTCTCCCTCTGCCTGTGTCTCTGCCTCTCTCTGTGTCTCTCATGAATAAATAAATAGCTTAAAAAAAGAGAGAGAGAATGTAAGGAGGGCCCCGCAGGTGCCCAAGGGGCTGTTCCAAATCAGAAAGGCCGTCCTTCGGTGGAAGACGTCCCGGACGTTAGATCTGGGGGGGGCAGTCAGGTCCCAGGGGAAGCAAGTCTGAGCTCAGGAGAAAACTATGTGATACTTTCTTTTTTTTTTTTTTAAAGATTTTATTTATTTATTCATGAGAGACACAGAGAGAGAGGCAGAGACACAGGCAGAGGGAGAAGCAGGCTCCATGCAGGGAGCCCGATGCAGGACTCGATCCCAGGTCTCCAGGATGGCGCCCTGGGTCAAAGGCAGCACTAAACCGCTGGGCCACCCGGGCTGCCCTATCTGCTACTTTCTTAATGCAGAGAGTAACAACACAGCATTACAGAAAACAGAAAACAAAACAAGAATCGCAGTTTCACTAGCGGAGGGAGTGTTTGCCTTTTGGAGTTCCCTGCCTGTCTTATTCCTGATTTTTTTTTCCACCTTCCTCACTGTGTCATTGGAGGATGTGCACCATGGTACCTTTTTTCGTTTCGTTCTGTGTCTCTGAGCATTTCCTCATGTTGCCACCCAGCCCGGGGAACCTCACCCCTGAGAAGTTGCCCAGTGTTCCAAAGCTCTAGGCTGCAGTGACCTCACCCGGGCCCCCTGACTAAACTCGTTTCACCGCTGTTGCCCGTACAGCTGGTGTGACCACAGGCCCCCTGAGCAGCCTGGGGAATGGCAAGGAGTGGGCAGCTGCTGCAGGTCCAGGCCCAGCCACGCCATCTAGGCCGGTCACCCTCTGAGATGGGCTTCCTTTATGGGCACCACAGGATGGCCATACCTGGGGCAGCAGGGACTGTGAGCAGGGTCCAGGCTAACTAACCAAGGTACTAGAAAGCACCTGGCACCGCCCCTCGCCTCCAGGATGCACTTTGTAAGGAGAGGTTGGCGTTGCTCAGAGCCTGCAGGCTGCCTCTGTGTGTGGGGGTGACACCTGGGCCCCTGGTGGCTGCTGGCTCACCCAGCAGGCCTGTCGCCCACGGAGCCCTGCTGAAATCCTCTGTTCCTGAGGTCCTGGACTGCCCTGGCCAGTGCCCTGTCCCACCCCCCCACCCCCCATCACCACCTGATTGGCTGGTCCAGGGCACGGACCTGGCCTTGGGAAGATGGGTTACTGGCTGGGTTCTGGGGAGTTTTACTGGGGTGGTAACACCTGTCAAACGGTAACGCAGGTCCTAAGGCAAACTCAGGGAGGACAGAAACCTCCTGTGGAGCAGAAGGGCAAAAGCTCGCGTGATCTTGATCCCCCTTTGGTCTCCTGGCAGCAGAGCTGACTGGACCAGGCCTCTCCTGAGAGCCTGGCCTCCTCCTACCCACTTCCGGGGCCACTCCAAATTTCCCTACTGGAGACAGAGGCCTACTTTCCCTGGGAAAACCACAACTTGGGCAAGGAGCCCAGGCAGGCATCCTGAGCCCCAACCCAGGGATGGCATGCCAGCCTCTTCTCCCTACCCTTTCCCAGTGGCAGAGGGTGGGGGGTGAAAGGAAAGAAAACTGGCCGAGGGAGGGGGGTGCAGGGTTTCTAGCCCCCCGGATGGGAGTTGGAAGGGAACATAGACAAATCACTGGGGAAGTCTCGTGTGTTAGCGGCCTCCTCTTCGGCAGGTGTTCCCTGGGTCTGACCCGAGTGCAGACTGCTGTGCCACTCCTTGCTTCCTTTTGTTCTGCCTCTGTGGAGACCACAGTAACTGGGAGTGCCCTCCTGGGGCCATGCCATGGGCAGTGGGAGGGAATCCTTCTCCACTTGGCACTCCTGGGGCCTAAGAGACCGTAGCCCCAGATGACCGAACGGTAGCACGGGACTAACCTGGGCAGGAGGTCCTCCCCCAGGTGGCCCATCCAATGCAGAGGTCTCCCAGGCACGTGACCTCAGATTCTAGCTGCTAGACGTTTGTCCGTGGAGCGTCTCCCTCCTCCCTGGTCTTGGCGCAGGGGAAGTGGGCATTACAACTGCCCTCCTGTCCCACAGCTTGGGCTGGGATGAGGTCACAGGGTGGGGTCCCCTCCAAGATGCTGGCCTGGCTGGGGTAAGCCCTTCGGCTGTTTCTCAGTCCCCTGGCCTTAGTTGGGGACAGGATGGGTGGAGGAGCAGGCTGCCCCCCATGCCAGGCAGGGAGCACTGCCTCCCTTCCTCCTCTCCTGTGGGTCCCTTCATTCGAGGGCTGGAAATAGAATCCGCTAAGTAATGATTAAAGTCAAATTCAGACCTAAAAATAAAGAGCTGGTGAAGGAAGAGCTAGTGTGCTCCCTGCGTGGCTGAGGGAGAAGCGAGCGGGGCGAGGCTAGCTTTGGGGGCCAAGCCCCCGCTTCCCGGGAGAGGCCGGAGCCGCCGGGGGATGGCGAGTGCTCCGCCAGCCGGGGGTAGCTCGTTTATCCAGCACGATGCAGCCTGCACCTTTGGGCCGCCTGGCAGGACGAGGGAGGGAATCCCATTCTTCCCCTGGAGAGGCCGAGGCCCAGGAGCTCCCCTTGGCAGGTGCCTGGGGATCCGAGGGCCCCTCACAGCCCAGTGTGTTCTTTCTCCCTGCTCAGTTTCTCTTCCTGGTTTTGAGGTACTGCAAAGAGAGGAGCTTCTCATCACACCCTGGCTTTGTACGCCTCGGCGGCCACCGACCACAGCTTCCCTCCGTCCCCCTGCTCCCCCCACCCCCGCCCCTTCCTGGTCGGGGCCCAGAGCTGCAGGAACAAGCAGGAGGGAGGCACCCCGTGCCTGGGCTGCTCTCCTTACAGCTGAAAGCCCTGTAGGTGGGTGAAAACCTGGGTGTCCTCTGACGCCTGCCCTCCCGGGCTGCTGCTTCTCAGCCCTGCCCAGCCC